AGGGGCGTAACATTTCCGTCTCACGCTTGAGGTATTCGGCCAATCATAACGCACTGGATAGCTGGCCAATCAGAGCACACCTCGCTTTTCAGACCGATGAGCTTTGTAAAAATCGACGCGTTTCAGAAAGGTGGGGCATAGAGGAGAAACAATAATGTACAGTATGTGGAAAATAATGTGTTTTTTTAACCTTAAACCGCATAAACACATTTCATTACACCAAATACACAAAATAATGTTCTTTTTTAGCAACGTCATATGACCCCTTTAATTTAATGCTGTATATTGATCAGCGGACGATGTTAAATCCATTTACGAGATACATATCTGAGGAAAAATGCATTGTTGGTCGGCGCCACCTAGCATGCAGGCGTGAATTAGCAAAAGGTGAACAACTGTTTCGCGTTCAGTGTGAAAGCACCGTTCATCGGCAATTCGCCTCGCTTTTTTGCATCGCGCTCAGTGTGGAAAGGCCATTACATGTGTTTGGCGAAAATATCTCTTTCCATTCAAGAGTTATAAGTGTTTCAGTAAAAGTGGCTCCACACCTTATGAACAGTTTGGTGTGCCGTTGCGACGGTGAGTTGAAAGTAATTTTTTTTTGATAATTATTGATATTCACTCTCCAAAGAATATTTCTGCACTGGTTTGGTTCAGATCAGGTGAAACACCTAGGACTAGTTTGCAAATGTAAGGTTTTTCAAAAAAATCCAAAATACCCCAAAATTTTGCCCGGGTGATGATTGAATCTGAGTCATATGTTTTGCACTTAAAGTACACAAACAATAGTACAGTAAAAACACAAGTAGTTTAGTAAAAACTAGGGCTTGTCAGCGTAAACGCATTAACGCATGCGATTAATTCAAAACCCTTAACGCATTAAAATAATTTAACGCGATTAACGAAAAATTACTGAAACACAATTTCTATTCTAAACCTTTTTTCCCGATTTCGCTTCTCTGTTTGCAATCAGATCATTTTAAGCTGCTAAACTGAAAGTTTTCAGTCCAGTGATCCAGCAAGCGAATTCATTCAAGCAATCAGTCGAAAACTAATGTTAAAAGAAACTAATGTAAAGAAAACCAGGTTGATTACAGATTAAGAGATGGAGGAAAGAATAGATACTCACGTTGCGCTTTCAGTGAATTATTAATTCCAGTGTGTTTCGCTTTAAAACACAAGCTCTGTGATTGTTTCTGAAGAGCGCGAGAGATCACTCACGCGTCGCGCAGTGTGAAATACAGACTGAACGTAACGTCAAAACATCCCACCACTGTATGATATGCAGACTATGTTTTCTCGGCTGGATAAAGCAAACCAGCTTCTTTTGATGTTTGAGTTTTGATGGTTGAGGATTGCAATCAAGGTAAAGACGATAGCGGTGATGTACAGGAGTCGTAAGCACGTGTGAGTCTGATAGACCATGTTTAAGCGCTCTTGACGCACAGATCATATGTTGTATTCATGCACAGACACATTTCAGTACATTCACGTTGTTTCCACACACATTCAGGATAATGTTTTGATTTGTCTTGTGTATGTTGCTGTGTTCAGTCAGTGTGCACAAATGTATCAATTATAACTTCTTACATCATTTGGTTCTTTGGTGTCCTTTTGGAATCTCCCAAGTGTCCTTTTTTTGAAAAGATATCTAAATTTATCTTGAAATAAACTAGCAGAAAATACAGTTTTGTGAGAATTACCCTTCAATCTTTTGGTTTACTTTGCTGGATATAGGTTAGGTTAGGTTAGGTTAGGTACACTTTATTGTCCCTGAGGGAAATTTGTCTTAGGCTCAGAAATACAACCACCACATCACATACAACACAAACTAGTAAAGAATAAAAAAAATACAAAAAATTAATAATAATAATAAAATAAATAAGTAAAAAATGATATGCATATATATATATATATATATATATATACACATATACACATAT